ATAACAAATATGCGTTGCTTTAAGCTGTCGTGATTATAGTAAAGAGTTATGGAACAAGAGACAACGAATACAACCTCCAAGGTTCCTGGGGGGGGGCACCCTAGGAAACAGCGGGGGAGCTAGAGGAGGTGATGACAGTCACAGCTAGTACTTATGGAGTACTCACTATGTGGCAGGCACTGTATTAAGATTTCATGCAGCCGATTTATTACCCACAACAGTCAATTGTGTTAATTGACCATTGTACAAGGAATGAGAGGGAGGCAGGCCAACCCATGTGTGGCAGTATACAGCCTCTATTCCTTCCTCTCCAACCCCAGGCAAACAATTCCCAATCAGAAAGCATCCGATTTCTGCTTTAGAAATTCCAGAATCTGTGGGCCCTTCATCAAGGGCTTTTTTCCTTTAGTTACTGACAAATGGATTTTAATATGCGCCATGAAGCCTACTGAATTTTGTGTATCCAGCAGAGAGGAATGAGCCTCAAGACATTTCAGAACTGAGCTTCTGCTACATCTTCCCTGAAGAGAAGGTGAGAAATATTAAGACACATTTTTCATTAGAAAAGAAGTTTTATTTAGGTAGACAGGCCAGTGCAGAACAAAAACACTGTTTCACTTGTATGTATAGACACAGCAGCCTTGATTTTCAGTCTTTCAACTCTCCTTACACAGAAGTCAGCATGGTCAGAATGTAGGACGTGGACAGGTGACATATGTGGAAATATGAAATATAACAGTGATAACCACCCAAATGCAGAGCTTTCAAGGTTCTTGGTTTTTTTAAAAGGTCATTTTCTAAGACCGTAATTTGTTCCCATCCTTCAACCTCTGTGGAATAGAAACCAATCATTCTTACCAAATGACACAGCAGAAAGAACGTACTTATTTTTCATTAGAAGTTTTGAAGAAATGCAGTCATCAGAAAGAATTTACGCCTAGCACCACATTATAGAATACCATTAAATTGTCATTCTGGTACTTTAAACAGAGCCAACTTGTTAAAGAGGAGCAGATGGCTTCAGTTTTTGTAGGAAACGCTTGTGACATTGTGGAATTCTTTCTTCCTCTTCTGGTAGAGCAGGGGGAGGCACTCAAGGCATAAGAAACTTTTATAAATTTCAGGAACTTGAAGAACAATGACTGATCAAACCGCATGCTTTAACTGACAGTATTTTTACAGCTAAAATGAGAACCCAGAAACAATACATTTCATCTAAAGCAGGCAGGACAAATCAATCACAGACTCATATCTATTACATTCCACAAACCACACAATATCATCTTTGCCAACCTTTTTCGAAGGTTTCACTTTACTTGAAAAATAGGGCGAAACTGCCAATGACTGCCCAGAAGGAGCCATTTCATCCCAGTGACATCAGATGAAACCTCAGTTACTCACAATCGCACATTTCAACATCCCTTTTCAAGAGGTTATTTTGGGAAATTACAGAGACAAGGACCTTTATAATTTCAATTGCCCTAATCACTGCGAGGCAACACTGAACTTGTATTGAACTTGGAAAGTGATCACAACTTACTCCACAATAAAAAGCTAAAAATCGTCACTACTTACATGCAGAAACCTATTCATTTGCAGAACTACTCCTCTCTCCACCAAGAGGCCAAATGAGCCTCCCCTCCCTTGCAGAGGACCATTTGCCTTTTGAAAACAAATTACAGTTGCCCACAAACTAGGATTTATTATAACGGTGTGTTCATTTATTCAAATATTTACAGAATGCCTACTACACGCCAGCCATTGTTTTTCAGGAGCTTGTGATATAGCAATGGGTAAAAACTCCCACCCTCCTAGATCTTCGATTTATCCTGGAGATAAGCAAAAGAAACCAACACGTACGCATTTTAAATGCTGTGCAACAATCCGCTTCTAAGAGCTGAACGGTTCTCACAGGGCCAATGCCCACGGTGTCCTGCCATCCCACCTTAGCTCATTTTTGGAAAGGAGAGGGTACTCGGAACAGGACGAAGCTTCCACACATGAAACGCAAACATGCAACCAGACCCGCCATACAATGGGACGTTTCTCGCGTTCTCCCAGGACGACTACAAAGTAGGACAAAGCACCTTACAGGTCAGGTGTATGCCCTCTCTCCCCACATTCCAGTGAGGCTGGCTGCACAGGGACGATGACTTGGGTTTGGAATAAGATCACTTCTGGTGGCCAGAGAGACAATCGCAGTCCATGCCAGCTCCCTGATCACTCCAAGCTACTGCCCCCACCCCACCGGCTCTTTTAATTGACTTTTTCAGTCTGACTCTAGGAAATGATGTCAGTTACTCAAAGGGGACGACAGTTCATTCAAAAGTGTGCAAATGTGGTTTCACTAAGTAAATGTACAGCTGAGACTTACTGTCGAAAGCAGACGCTTTCCACAAGGGTCACGGGAGCCTCCCTGCCGTGCGGCTCGGTCCCCAGGCGTTACAACACAGCTTCTTAACCTGGGGTGCGAGGACCACCATGACCCTTGAAGGTGTATGTAGCGTTGTGTGTATATCTGAGGAGAGGGTCCATAGCTTTAAAGAATATACTTACAAGGGGGGTTTGTAACCTCCCAAAAGTTTAAGAGCCTCCATATTAGAGGGTCTCTGCCTGTCCCTTGGTGAAATTAAGTGTGGAGCTGGACACGGCTGTCAGAACAATCAGTCCCAGCCCCAGCTGTAATGCTGGTGTTACAAGTCTGGTTTAGAGGCCTCGTGGTGGTTTGTTAGGAAGATACAGGCCAGAAACAAGGTCAGCTACTACTGGCGGTGGTCACTGAGGGTCTGTTTTGCCCCCTTTTGTAAAGCAATGATGACTCCTCATCCTTGGAAATCTGCCACCTCAAACGGAGTCCTCCCTCTAAGCCAGCACTGGATGGAGGAGTTAACTTTCCTAATAACACTTTTTCTCAAGCCAAAATGTATGACCAGACATCCACGTCAGACTCTTAGTGCCATGACTCTTCATGGGCAGCATCATGTACCCCAAGGCCTGGGTTCCCCAAACCCTGCAAGTAAGGTACAAAAGGTGATTGGAGCACTTTCTGTTCAAGATCAGTCTGTGTTACTGTTTTGTTTAAGCTTCAGACTGGGGGATACGTGGCTCAAGAACCTCTGGGAAGAACTGTAACTAGACTCTCGAAACCATCAGCTACAGAAATGATGGGAAAGAGAAGAACAATATGTGTCTCCTGAGAACACAGAGCATTTGCAGGGAGTTTTCTGGAAGGGCCTTCAGTGTAGTCACTCTTCCTCTAGATACCTGCCTCTGTCTTCACTGCCTTTTATTAGTCTCTAAACTCCTCAAAGATGAGGACCTGCCTTATTCACATCCTTATAGCCGGTCACTAGCGTGATGTCCGGGACATCACAGATGTTATTGGAACTCAGAGAGTAGGGATGGGGGGATGCAGAGGTTAAGGGCTCTAATTAAAGAATTACATGTGACAGGGCTTAGAGAGTCCCTGGTCCCCTAAAATAATGTACCTATTTTTACCACTTCAAACTATAAATTAGGGGCTATCTATAAAGAAGTTGAGGCTTTCTGAAAAAAAAAAAAAGAAGGATAGCACAGAAAAATATATTCCAGAAAATTTTCAAATTATAAAAAGAAACCAGTGTAGAGAACTGCAATATAATATCTCAGATATAGTGACATAAAAATGCAGCAAAATTGATGATTTAGGTTACTGACATTTCTAAGTCACGCTATTATTCAATGGTAATAAATATTATGCAAGTAAGAATAATTTAAAACACTGATTGCATCCTGGATATTTATCATTAGCTTTCCATCTCAGAAACCATCACAGAAGCATAAATAAAATCTGCTTTTGTGAATATTCTGAAAGGTGGAGAGCAGCTTATGTAATTAGATCAGGTAAACAACTGTCCCTAAGAGCCATCCATAAACTTTGAAGCTCCTGAGGATTATTCACTAGCAATGTATTAACTTTCTAAGAATAAAAAGAGGGAGGTCCACAGATGTCTTTTTTTTTTTTTTTGGCAGTACGCGGGCCTCTCACTGTTGTGGCCTCTCCCGTTGCGGAGCAACAGGCTCCGGACGCGCAAGCTCAGCGGCCATGGCTCATGGGCGCAGCCGCTCCGCGGCATGTGGGATCTTCCCGGACCAGGGCACGAACCCGTGTCCCCTGCATCGGCAGGCGGACTCTCAACCACTGCGCCACCAGGGAAACCCCACAGATTCATTTTTAAGAATTTTGTATAAAATGTAAACATAGTTAGGATCTATTTACATGATCAGAATTGGAAAAAGGGTTTTGATATTCTGGGTCAGCCTTAAATGTTTATGAAACAATGCTTGGGTGATACACTATATACCCATTTGTAACATTTATTCTATAATTCCCCATCAATGCTAGAATGTTCTTCCCAAATGGCCCCAATTTTGACCTCACACGATTCTAAATTTAAATGAATTTTTAAAAGATGTTCTTAAATATAAATAAACTGCGAAGTTGTTCTGGCTCCAAGCACACCCATGTGGCAGATGTCATTTATACGTTCTGATCGTAATAGGCAAAACGTCCCTCACTTTAAGCCTTCTGTGTTCCGTGAATTTGTTTAAGTAACATCCTGTCTCAAATGCTTTTGACCACAGAGGACTTCCCTGCAGACAACCTCTCCAAAGTGATTGGATCCCAAAGTCCTTGCTTTCCAGCAGCTCTGAGGCTCGTTGCACCATCTGTACATAAAGGTGTTTTTCTCTGAGGCACTAAAAGGCCTCTTACTCTTACTAGGATTAGTCTTTCCACTTTCTGTCTGATGATGACGTACACATCTACGTTTGCTGTGGCTTACTTGTCTCCACGTTGTCTCGTAGGAAGCTCACGAACCATCCTCCACAACGTTTTGTTGACCATCGTTTTCACCAGGGACTCAGTAAGACATACCCAGTATCTCTGCTGAGAACCATCTACTGCGAACCAGCTGGGTACCTGCCAGAGGTTCTTCAGCCAAAATGAATCCCATGTTGCCCAGGTCGCTGATCTTAAGTTCACGGGAAAAAAAATCGTCAGCAAGAAGTATCCAGAAGCCTCTGTCGAGCATTCTGCTCTCCGTTATTTATTTTCGTTCCACTGTGTCCATTCAAATCTGTCAAAATGGAAAACAAGCATTTATGACGGAAGTCCCTCGGCAGGACCCATCGGCGCTAATTAACTTCTGCTATAAATCTACCTCCTGGTCTTTGCCTTACCCAGTTAATCTTAGCCTCGTTGCAGAGCAGCAGAAGTTGGGTCAGGGCGACAGTTAAATCAATAAACTCTCAGTCCCTTTTGTAAGCGTTGGAGAGTGACAGACAAGACGATCGGCAGTATAGGGAGAAAAGCCGGTAAAACAAGACAAAAATTAGCAAGAATGACATCAGAGAAGAATGCTTGAGCAAGAGATGGAGTATAAGAAAGACAGAGAATGAGGAGAAGGAAGACAGCACAGCCCAGAGAAAGCACAGATGCTTTCCTTTGGAAATCTGGGGCAGCACCAATGCTTTCCCCTCTCTCTCCCAGCACTGAGGGGTTTCACCTAAAACCACACCAGGAAAACGGTTTAACAACGGTGGGCAGGGGTAAAGACTGTCGGTCATTCATAAAAGGCGGCTGCAGAGGTGCTCCGTGGGCTTCCGCAGCTTCCACCCTGAGAGCTAAGCCTACCTTTGAGATCTACCGTCTGGTCCCCCTGCTCCTCTGCCATCATCTCCACGGGCTCAGGATTTTTGCCATCAACCACGTCCATCTTGATCGTGCCGAGGTTTGTCAGGAGAAGCATGGGGTCAATGCCCTGACAACTGCTTTTAATATTCTCCAGAACCTTAAGACACTTGTACGACTTGAGTTCACTAATATTCTCCTCCAAGAAAAGAATGTAGAGGCTCAAGTCGTTGTACCCTTCCGATTTGAAATGCAGAACATCAAAAGTGGGCAGGATTTCATACACTTTGAGAACATCCGTCTTCTGTCGGAATGGAACAAACAGCGTGTAGACCACCAGGGGAGCCAGCATGACATACACCACGAGGTTGATGAAACTCAGCAACTGGAAGATGCCGACGGCAATGAGTTTGCACTGGAACCGATCGGGGACAGTGCTGTCATTTTTCAGGATGCCAGATTTGATGTTGCAGATGAACTCATCCGAGAGGGAGGAGAGGCTAAAGTAATAGCCCAGGTAGACGCCTGCTAACAGTATAATGCTGAGTGACAGCACCCGACAGCTGATGTACTTGACAATTAAACTTTTGGAGTTTTTCTTTGTCTTTAAGTACTGCTCCACAATTGGGTACTTGAAGTGGCTTTCCGGTATCTCCCACAAACTGAAAAGAAACAAATAAAAATAATTTAAACCCTTAACCAAGACTGTCAAATAGAAACACATTCAACAGTATCGCACCGAAAATCTCCAATGCCTTCCCTCCCGTACTTCTCTACCTGTAACTTCACTAGAGTACCAGGGAATAAAATCAGGTTTTTTTTAAAAAAAAAAAAAAAAAAAAAAAAGAAGGAAAAGCAATAATAAAACACTTTCCCCCCCTTAATTTTTTTTTTTTTTTTTTGCGGTACGCGGGCCTCTCACTGTTGTGGCCTCTCCCGTTGCGGAGCACAGGCTCCGGACACGCAGGCTCAGTGGCCCTGGCTCACGGGCCCAGCCGCTCCACGGCATGTGGGATCCTCCCGGACCAGGGCACGAACCCGTGTCCCCTGCATCGGCAGGCGGACTCTCAACCACTGCGCCACCAGGGAAGCCCCAAGGGAAGGACCCTTGATGTGACGACAGGTGCTGGGGCAGACAGGTGAGGGTGAGATTTGGGGCAGTGGGCCTTCCTGGCTCCCAAAGGGGGTCACCAGGTGGATGACAGCTCCCCATGTACTGGTAGTGAGAACCCTAAGCCCAGATGGGCAAGAGCAGGGCTGCTAACTCATACTCCCAAATCCTGATGGGCCAGCGGCTGGGGGCTAAGTTACCTTTGCCCCAGGTTCTCATTAACTTCTCGAGCTGGGCAGGCACCGTCTCTCAAGTCAAGGTCACGCGCGCTCTTTGCAGCTCTAATTGCGCGGTTGTAAACTTTGTCAAGTTCTTCCATGATAAATTTCAAATCTGAGCAAAGATGAGGAACAGCTGCGAAACGCCAGAACAGGGAGGGAAGGTACAGCAGGATCGCCACCAGTAACAGGATGTAGGGGAAAAACTGAAAAATAAGAGAGCGAATCACGGGATCAACAGACCACCCCCTGAAGTAAACATGTTAAGCACTGCTAGCGGTTTTCTCATTTTGACACAAAAGTGCGTACCCACATCGCTTGTGAAAGTCAGGCTCCTTACCCAATAACTACTTCTTATGGCTAAATTCACCTGTCCAGGTAATACGTGACACTGGTAACTACCTTTCCCCTCCACTTCGATAGACTTTAATTTGAAATCGTTGGCAGCTACATGGTGACACATGGTGTCTCCTCCCTAATTACAGAAGGAAACAAAAAAATAAAATTATTCCCTTGTCCTTTAGAATAATCCCTTGACAAAATCGCAATTAAGGAACATGTAAATGTCACAGTGGCCTCTGGGTTCTTCTTCTTCTTCTTTTTTTTTTTTTAATTGCTATGGTTTTAGGAGGTCACTAAGGCTTTTAGAACTCTGTCGTTTTCCTCTCTGGAATTTGGGAGAATGGCAGAAATGCATAACGTTGCTCAAAACAAATTAGAAAAATGTTGGCTTCAGTGATCCTGTAATCACCCCATGAAACAGCTGAAATAAGCAGGTAAAATTCACAAAATGCAGAACAGACTTCCATAGTGGACAGACCGTGAGGACCACCCAACATCCTCATTTTACAGCCAGATAATCTCAAGCCTGGAGAACCACAATGGGTGACAGTCATGAGGGGAGCAACCCGATCTCGATGTACATTCAAAACAAATGAGAGGGGATTCAGAAGTCAGAGAGAGCTAAGTGCATCCAGTAACCAGGTCCGCGGGGCGGTAAGGAAAGGCTTAGCCTCAGAGAAGACCAGGAAGCTGCAGCCAGAACAGATCTGAAATTAAACTCAGCTGAGTGGTCTTCGCAGAGAGGTTGCTGAGCCTTTGACCTCAGTTTCCCTATCTATCAAATGGTCGCGTAATACAGATGTTATAAAGGTTAAATTAGATAATTTATGAAAAATGCTTTGCATGGTGCCTGGCACGTCGTAGGCACTAAAACACAGCAGCTAAAACCAACGGAAAGGCTACTGAGTGAGCACGTTATCTTCAGTCCTCACAGTGACCCTGGCAAAGCCGTTGCCGATGGCCTCACTCTGCAAAGAAGACGCCCAGAGCAGTTTCTGGCCACAGAGCACAAAGCTGGTGATAGAGACAGAATATGAAGCTTGACCTTTCTGATCCCAGAACCATGCCTCTTTCACCATAATACACTGCAAATTATTTTACTTCTCTGGAAAACTCCTCCCTACCTTTGGATTGGTCTCTTTCCACAGCTGCTCAGAGCTGTAACAGGAAGAGGCTACGATGGCCTTGAGTTGACACCAAACTCCCACCCCGACCTCTCTGGGAGCCGGCAGCAGACCAAGTAAGAGTGTGACTCTCACTATAGATCAGATGTACAGAAAAGTTGCAAAGGTGGTCCAGTGCGTTCTCGAATAACCCTCATCCCGTTTTCCCCTCTGTTGGCGTTGGACATCTCCACGGCACACTTGTCAAGGCGAAGGAACCATCGTTGGTACATTACCATTAGCTACATTTCAGGCTTTTATTTGGATTTCTCCAGTGTTCTCATTGTTGTCTTCTTTCTGTTTCAAGACCCCATCCAGGGTATGCATTGCATTTTGTTGTCACGCCTCCCTAGACACCTTGGTTCTGTGACAGCTCCTCAGTCTTTCCTTGTTTTTCATGAAGAATAACGTTTTTAAATGCATAAAAGAACACATAAATTCGCAAAGGAAATGGATGATGTTGATATACAGCTGTCACAACATTAAAAGACAAATTTGTATGTGCATCATTGTCAACACATTTAATGGGATCTAACAGATGGTCCAACAACACAGTAACTCTGAAGTGATGAAGAGTAAAAAATACTCTAAGATAGCTGTGATTTCTGTTGGTGACAGTCACACATGGCACTAATACCACTACAGATTCTTGCCTACTTACATACATATTTTTTAATGTTAAGTTTTAGCTTGAGGTACATAAAAAATAAAGCTGCCCTGTGTTTTCTTATCCTAGTTCGTGGACTTCCTGATGCTATCATGGAGCCCACTTTAGGAATCCCTGCCCCAAGGGCAAGAGAAATAGCACAAATGGCTCAGAAACTCCACAAAGCCCTCACCAACGCAGCTGCTTCCCTTTGGGGTTCTGGCATGGGATGGGGTCCTCAAAACTATTAATCCGGGCTTCCCTGGTGGCGCAGTGGTTGAGAGTCCGCCTGCCGATGCAGGGGACACGGGTTCGTGCCCCAGTCCGGGAAGATCCCACATGCCGCGGAGCGGCTGGGCCCGTGAGCCATGGCCGCTGAGCCTGCGCATCCGGAGGCTGTGCTCCACAACGGGAGAGGCCACAACAGTGAGAGGCCCGCATACCGCAAAAACAAACAAACCAAAAAAAACCAAACAACTATTAATCCAATTTGCAAAGAGCTGCTACACAATGACACACACAACAGGCTGTGATTAGCTGCATTTTGGCTACATAATTCATAGTTGGCTACACTGAAACGCAGTGTTCCTTCAATCCTAGTCAGTCTGAAGGGTGCTCATTAGTATAAAAATTTAACTGCGTGACGTAGCGTTTGTGCTGCTTCCATAACTGAAAGAACCAGACATTTCCTTTGGGAACCACAGAGGGAAAAGTATTTCTAACTTGGGGCTGTGGAATATGTGTATAAGTCACTTTTGGTTCAAAGCTATTTGAATAATAGTATTTCATCTCGAACTGTTCTTGTGAAGTAGGAAGTGACCGTTTACAGTCTGTAGCAATTTTTCTAACATGCCAACGCGGTGTAATAATTAGCACCAATGAACAGTTCAACGCAGCTCACTGCAGTTTGAAAAATGAATGTTTAAAGGTATTACATGAATGTTTAAAGGTATTACATGAATGTTTAAAGGTGTTTGCTTTCTTCTAAAATATCCTTGTACCTTGATCGCCTCTAGGGGAATGTAGTTGAATGCCCCGTTTCTTAGTTTTTCTCCATAGGTAAACCTCTTTTTTCTTTTTCATCAAAAATAAAAAGGTGATTTGCAGTGAATCTGCAGCAAGATGGCTTTAAAGTGAATTCAAATGAAATGCGAATCCAAAAAAAGCATTAAATTATAGTCTTTAAAATCCTTTTGTCCAAATAAGGAACATGGAAAAACTACCGAGCCTTATGAGTACATCTGCTGGATGGGAACGGCTTTGTTTCTAAGCTCTGTCTACTCCCAATTAGTTCTGAGATGCTTGGCATCTTTCAAAGCTATGACTGCATGATTCTGTACGATGCCCATGTTAGTTAGTGCTGAGCTATTCCAGAGTTGGTGAAGCTTCTCATAGCAAGGTGAAACCAAGAACTTGGTACACTTTTCAGTCTCTGAAAAGAGACTGAAAAGTCTCTTTTTTAATCTGCCTTAAAATCTTGTTTTGTTTCTGGAAAGGGTTGTAGTTAGAACAACAGACCCTCCAGATGGCAGGGACCTTGGAGGGGATGCGCCCCAGCCTCCCTCCATGTTCAAATCCCCTCTAGCTCATCTAAGGCAAAGGAACATCCAATTAGGACTGAGCGACTCCTCCCGTGAAATGGATGTGATCACGTCTTATGGGATTAAATGCAGATGGGTAAATTCATTCAAAAATATCTCCTGGGCACTTGCCAGGTACTAGGCAGTGGGCTGGGAGCATGGCCCCAAAGAGGAAGTGCACAGTTTGCCCCAGGACCACACAGGTCAGGTGGGAATACCAGCTAATAATTAAATAATCAAAACGTAAAAGTGATGATCACAAAATATGTAGTACTGAGGGAATAGAGATGTCCTTGGGGAGGTGAGGCAAGGCTTTGTAAAAGAGGTAACGTCTGAGCTATGTCTTAAAGTACAGTGAGGCAAAACAACAACAACAAAGAACCCATAAAGCACTATTATGGGGACTTCCCTGGTGGCGCAGTGGTTAAGAATCCGCCTGCCAATGCACGCGATACGGGTTCGAGCCCTGGTCCGGGAAGATCCCACATGCCGCCGAGCAACTAAGCCCATGCACCACAACTACTGAGCCTGTGCTCTAGAGCCTGCGAGCCACAACTACTGAGCCCACATGCCACAACTACTGAAGCCCGCGGACCTAGAACCCACGCTCCACAACAAGAGAAGCCACTGCAATGAGAAGCCCGCACACCACAACGAAGAGTAGCCCCCGCTCACCACAACTAGTGAAAGCCCACGCACAGCAACAAAGACCCAATGCAGCCAAAAAATAAAAAGCACTATTATGTTAACACTCAGCTCTCTGGGGCCCTTTAGACATCCTCTTTCCTCTGTCTAGAATTCTTTCTCCTTGTCTACCTGGTGAATTCTCACCCATCCCGGTCACCAAAGTAAATGAGCAAGCCCACAGCTGAGTAAGTAGTAAGAGCTGAGGCTGGAAGGGTGTGTAGTAGGTTGAAAAACTCATGTCCACCCCGAACCTCAGAATACGACACTGTTTGGACATAGAGTTTTTGCAGATGTAACTAGCAAAGATGAGGTCATACTAACTTAAGGTGGGCCCTAATCCAGTGACTGGTATCCCTCTAAGCACACAGAGACACACAGGGGAGACGCCACGTGAAGACAGAGGCAGAGACTGGAGCGATGCATCTACAAGGCAAGGAACGCCAAGGACTGCCGGCCACCACCAGAAACTAGCAGAGAGGCATGCGATGGACCCTCCCCTCTGAGCCCCATAGAAGGAACCGACTCTGCTGACACCCTGATTTCCAAATCTAGGAGAGAAGACATTTCTGTTCTTTCAAGCTACTGAGTTTGTGGTCATTTGTCACGGCAGTCCTAGGAAACTCATACAAAGGGGAAGCAGGGACCGAATTATGAAGCTCCCACAGTACGGGAAGCCGCCGGTGGAGGGCATGATGGGAATTTATTTTAGAAAGATTATTACAGCCGTGGAGAAAGGAAGACACTGGAGAGGAGAGACAAGGCAGGAGCTTACTGCAGCAAAGAGGGGG